AAGGGGTACTTTATGTTAGAGATGAAGATGACTAAGAGAGCATATGCTAGAGGCTTACAAATTTAGGCATGGTGTGGGGGAAATGTAGAGTTTTCACCTCTCTCATAACACTAGAACTACAGGTCACCCACTGAAAATGACTGATAGCAGATTCAGGCCAGACAAAAGGCAGAACTTCTTACAATTGTATAATTTGATTGCTGCCACCACTTCTTTATATGCCATTAAAAAATGATTAGACAAATTTATGGAGGTCTGGCAAACACTCTTTTGTTGCTCCAGTTTCTGATAGTCATCTAGTCTGCCTTTTGAAATAACAGATTTTACTCACCACTGTCATCCCACAATCTCTTAAAGCCAGGTCTCAGGAACAATTGACAGGTATGCCACCTTGTTTCAGTGTTGAAAAATCCTTTCATTTGGTGATGTTTTGGCTGTTATCCTACCTTGATTTATTTATTTAAAAATATTTTTAATTGAAGGACTATATTACTTACAACCAAAAAAGTACATAAATTGTATATAACATCATCTAATGTTTAAAGTATATCAATTCAACTTATGGGTCCTTACATTATATTTATCTCTCTTTACATAAGTGGTGTTCTTCTTTTTTCATTCTTTCAAAATGATAATTAATTATGCATTGAAACATACATGATAATTATTGGCTTCCTAAGTTCCAGCATCTTCTATCTTCTGTTATAATCTGATATTACAGTTGATTGACTAGTAAGGTATACATTGGAGCCCAGAAAACCATTAGGTCTATAGCAGCTTACAATGTAAGCTAGGGGAGAGCCTTCTCCCTCAACCTCATGACCTACAATATGAGAGCACATACCTGTCTGCTCCCCAGGCCTCCCAGCCCCCCAAACTTTATATACATCGAGCTGATAAATATGTAGCTTGCTATTGTGATAGAACATTACAAAATTACATCAAGCTCTATTTCACCATCCTCTGTTTCTTCAGAAACATGAAGCTTGCGGCTTTTAACTGGCGTCAATGGTGAATGAGTCTTCCTTTTTACAGCTCGAATTTCAGCTTGCTCTATTGAGGCAAACCTAATGCAGATAACAAAGCTGATCCAGGAACAGAGTCATATGCAATATATTGAGTTTGCTGATATTCCACAAACATTTTACCTGACCGCAACCAATGGTATTTTATACCTGCTGCCTGGAGTTTAGAAGTAATAGGTTTTAAGTCTCTTCGAATCCTAAGCATTTCTGGGGGAAGGTCCGCAAATAAAAGTATTTTGCTTCCATGAAAATCCAAGCCGCTCTGCTGACGTGCTTCCATCAAGATTTTCCTTTTAGTCCGATAGCCTGCCAGCTCCACCACTATGTCTCTGCCAGAAGGGGCAGCCTGGGAAGAATCTGTTGTTTTACCTACTCGGTAAGCTCGCAGTATCAGTGGTATCACTCCCTCCTCTAATTTTAAAGAGGTAGCCAGCCAGGATACCATGAAAATGGAGAGGTCAGTTGTTGCTTCGGCATTTGATGAAAACCCGCAAAATTTCAAGTTTTTGTCTCTTATGCGAGACTCCAACATCGTGATTTTTTCTCTAGACCAACTGTCTTGAGAGGAGGTTCCAAGCTTTTTTTCCAGCTTTTTTTCCAGGGAGGCGGTTTTCTGTAATGCTTCTTCTGCTTTTTGAGCAGTTTGCTTATATTGAGGCTCCAATTCCTAGAGGTGATATCATATCCATCATATCTTGCCTCAGCTCCTGACGCTGTCTCCCCAATGCTTCTAATAAGAACTTTGGTGTGAGGAGAGAGTAAGCAGTATTTGTATCACCATTGCCTGAAGAAGCTGAAGAGGTGCTGGCAAATTCAGCCGATACAAAAAATTCCTTTTGCAAAGGAGCTCCCCGACATTCTTTTGATTCTTTTTGCCCTTAGAAGCTTTAGGCGGCATATTTTAGGTCAGGTTTGTTTGAAAATAGTCAATTAGAGTTGATTTAAGAGCAAGAGGAATGGGAGCAGCCGGTAATGGCTTCTGGTCAGCACGCGATCGAAGCCACGACCCCCCTGTTATCCTACCTTTGAGGAGCCAGGAAAAGAGAGGTGCAGGTATGCAGGATTTTGCAAAGCTATATTTTAAAAAAATGAAAACAACCTCAAATACTTGCAAAGAATATGGCAACAATTCATCACCATATAATACCCCTGATAACAAAGGCAGCATCTTAGTTGCCCCCTCTCCAATCCTGTTGTCTTTCTCCCCACTTGTTCCTTTTGTTTTTCTCCTTTATGAAGGAGGGGGCACAATTTTGGGATATTCTAAACTATGTATTATAAAATCAACAAAACAAGTAAAAAAAACCCCAGGATATCCTTCACAGATATCCTTCTCCACCTTCTTTTCCTGGATGTTGGTATGCACACAGAATACTGTTAGCAAAACTCTTTACAGTCCTGAGAACTATACAGTATACTTTTTTTAAAAAAGCTCAAGTACTCCTGATGTTGCTTCCAAAGGGTCAAGTAATATTGGTTCCTGTTAACACTAATAGCTCTTGAGGCCAAAGAGGCAAGACAAATTATAAGTGGCCAATTTTCAAACAGCAAACCCAGTCTGAAGCAGCATGATTTGTTAAATTGTCTGCGGGACTTGGAGGAGGCAAACCTGGGCTTAGTTCCCAGCTCAGTTATAAAGACAGTTGAATAGACTTTGGCATTATCACCAGCTCAGCCTTAGTTCCCAAATGGGAATAAAACTGACCCAGTATAATCAATATCAGAAACATCTCTCTCTCGGTCTCTGTGCCACTGGGATTCCATGTGTACTCCTGACTCAATAACTACTGTTTTGTTGATGCTCTTGGCACCCCAGACCAGAATTAGTTTGGGAAGAAAGAGCTCCCAGTCTCCCTGTAAAGCTGCATGAGGTAGAGAATGGAGTAGACACAATAGCTCTCAATCACAGAGCAAGGAGGCTGAAAGTATGCTCGATACCTATGCATGTCACAAGTAAGCATCCATGAAGTCCTGCAGAAGCCTGAAAAAATCAAGTTCGAAGAAACAAGGAAGCTTCTAGTCCTCATTATACAGAATAACTTAAGATGGTCATGGAACTCGCTAACAGCTCATAAATCAGAGGTAAAATTATGGAAGCCAATACAGTCCTTTTGTTTAATTTACGTATCTTACCTCCCACCACCCTGGCTCCTTTTCATACATACATATACTGCTCTCCAGTAGCTCTGAAACCCAGTCCCCCCCCCCCCGCATTCTATAGTCCATAAGGGGTAAAAAATAACAGATTAAATGAATTTTTAGTCTACTACATTTAAATCAGCATTCTTTATTTTGGTAGTTGTTTATATGGCTGTCTTGCGCACAGTTCCAGAAAATAAGTACCATGGATCAGTGTGACCAAAGCTGAAATCCCCTACTCAGGGATCCTGGATCACTAAGTCATCTTGGACTAGTCATGTTTATGCTTTCCCACTCCACTCATCTCAAAGGGTTGTTGAGAAGATAAACTGAGATAGCCCCAGTTTGTGTGTGGCACCTGTACTTAGGAAGGACAGGACATTAAGGCAGGAAACTACAGATCCCTTACTTGTTCATTACTCAGATAAACTTCTAGCAGTTTTGTACATCTACTTCAGGAAGTGTCTGGATTTGGCTAGTACAGTCCTCTTTCCCACCATATCTAGCAGTAGGAAAAGGCTCAGGCTGAGTATGGAGTCCATATTATGGACAATCATTTATCTGCAGCAATGGGAGCTACTGCCCCATAACTATTACTAAATTACTATCTAGTGATAATTTCATTTAAGTGTAAGGAAGACAAGGTGGATTGATTTAAGTCAAGGGAATACAAAATTATATAAATCACAATTTAAATCACTACATTAAAAAAAATTAAAACCATTGATGCAAATCAAGATTTCCATTTTGAAATCCATATATGTCCTGAACAAACATGCATATTGACAACTAAGTAGGACCTTTATAAAACCTGGGAACATAGTTAAAAAGTGTTGGCTTTGCAGCCCAAGTGGCTTTTTCACCACAGAACTGTCTGCTTAAAGTGGAATTTCCTGTCACATGTAGTTCCATGATTCTTTTTACTCTTTCCAAATGAAGCCATAGGGGGCTGCCATTTAAAGACAGCAGGCAGGGATAAGCGTTAACCCTTTCCTCTTTTGCTGCTTTCCTCTGTCATCTCAACAAAGCTGCCTTTACTTACCACACAAGCTGTAAAGTTTTCCCTGGGGTGGTAAACACAGGTTAATAAAGACCCAAAGGGAAAGAGATAAAATTGTCCCTCTTCCCCAACATGTCCTCTCTTTCAAATCACAGCACCAATTGCTGCATTTTGTAAAAAAGTTAAATCAAATTTAAAAATTTAAGGACAGCTGATCTACATATGTGTAGCTCTGTCCTAAGAGATTAATTTCTGCTTGGCTCTCTGCACATTAGGCAACATCACTTGTGTGAAGGCTGAGGCTGCAATTCTAGGCATGCTCATTTGGAGGCAAGTCCCACAGAACAAAGTGGGGCTTACATCTGAGTAAGCATGTTTAGGATTGGGCTCCAACTAGTGCCCAACATTTTCCAGAAGGAAAAAGTGATAAGATACTTGGGTGGGGGGCAGTGTTTTGCAATTAAATGAAAAGTTACTGTCCATGTTTTTGGTAGGCAGTGGCAAATATAACTTGCAATGAAACCTACTACAAAGCTCAGTGTACTGATACACTAGAAGAATAAGATGGTTCACATGGACTCAGCAGATGATCCTTGTGAGATACAGGATGGCATCTCCTGGATCCCAATACATGCGATTTGCTGGTCACTGGTTCCAGCAGAGAGCTCACAAGAATCTATACATGACTTGCTGTGTCATTTATAATGCTTATCCTCAGTAGTCAGATTTTTTTTTTCTATGCTGCTCTTTTTTAATAGAAAAAAGAAGCATTTCACATGCTTAGGCTTGCCAAGTCTCCCCCCACCCCCGGGCCACCAGCGGGGGATGAGGGCAGGGTTGCCAGATCCAGGTTGGGAAACTCCTGGAGATTTGGGGATGGAGCCTGGGGAAGACAGGGACCTTAATGGGAATCTGATCTCTCTAGCCTGGAGAGGAGCTGCAATTCCAGGGGGATCCCAGGTCCCACCTGGAGGCTGGCATATTTCAGGAGATTGTTAAATGCATGCTTTCACATGTTTTTTGCATTTACATTTCTTTTTCTTTCAAACCAGGCTGTTTTTTTAAAAAGAGCCGTGTGTTGTAATTGAAATAAACCTCAAAACATTTCCAAAACAAAAAAGTTTTTATCCAGACTGGGGGAAAAGAATCTTACTGCAAGTCAACAGAGCAGCAAAAGTGACTAAGTAAACTGCAATAAACTTCTAATCTAACCAATTTAACTCTTAATGGGAACAGAACATTTTCCCTTCCCAATGCATATGCGCACACACACACAAATTCCCAAAGCCTTTAAGTTCCAAAAATGCATTGGACATTGCAGGGAAAGGGCAGAAGCTTTGCTAATCATGGACACTATTTAATAGGATCCCCTGCCAGTAACACTGAAATTCACACACTATTGTAGTTGTGCTAGTCACACACCTGGGTGTTTGTCACCTGTCAGGTATCTCACTGTACAATTTGGTGCAGTGTGCAGACGTACAAAACTGGTTTGATCGGACACCAGGGCAGGACAAAAAAGTGAATGTGTATACCACAGGCAATGGCATGCTTATGACATCACCCTTCCACATACACAATAACAAACTAGCTAGGGCACCTCATCTGTATACAGCCTCAGAACATCAGGAGACACTTGTCAGACAGAGGTCAAATTAAACATGTGATTGTGCTTATACACCATTCACACACCAGTTGTGGGTAATTCAGTAGGAATTGCAGCTACAGAACTGTGCTAGCTGATGTTGTGAAGGGATAGTCAGAATAGCAGTGTAGTCTTTAGGAAGATACCTACATTTTATGAATTGGGCTGGAAAAAGACTACACTTGATACAGTAGGTAAGTGTGAAGAAAGCCTGCCCAAACCCACCTCTCCCTCTTCAGATACTTATTAGAAGGCATACCAATAAGCACCTGAAAAAACACAAGTGCATCAGTAACCACACAGATTCTCACATGGAGCACTTGCACATCACTTTGCACACTAAACACATCATGAGAGCCAGGCCTGGGCCCTCCCCCTTAGAATTACTTTGCAACATACAGGAAAATATAAAGCCCTTGCCTCTCTTTAGGATATGAGTTCTGCTGGTCCCCAGTCACCTGCCTGAAGTCAGTGACATATGGGGCCCCATCACAAAGGATGCTGTGGCAGCAACAAAACTACCGTCATGCAGCTTGACGTCTGAGAGCATTAGTCATGCAGGATGACTGTGGTTTCACTGCAACCTAGTCTATCAAAGAAGAAAACCTGTAAGGCTGTGATGCATTCTGCACTTGCTGCTTACAACAGCGCTCTCTATGATCGGCACAGGAGAAATGCCAACTTTACATAAGAGCATAAGAGAAGCCTATGTTGGATCAGGCCAATGGCCCATCTAGTCCAACACTCTGTCACACAGTGGCCAAAAATACCAGGTGCCATCAGGAGGTCCAGCAGTACTACTAGGCCAAACTATATATTATTTGTCTCATTCCCTATACATACAGGGACAGTCAAACTCACATGAACATGAGCCACATGTGAAGAGATTCACAGATCTCACAGTATGACCAATGGTATGCAATTATCATTTCCTTTTTTCACAAATTATTACTTCTGATTGGATCAGATCCACTCCTCAATTTATTCTACTTCTACTGCCAGTTTGCACACATAACGTGTCCAGCAGTTTTGAGTGCCCAGCTTAATTGCAAAGGTCATATCTTCAGCTGGTGTAAAATGGCAGCACTCAATTTTGTGACTGATTTAGACTAGCTGATGACCTTGGATAAATCTTTAAGACCTTAGCAAATATCCCCATAAGATACAGAAGAATAAATCAGACCTTTTATATGGGATGAAAGATTCATTTCTCTTGACAGAAGACATGGAAGGCTGACTTACTCTCTCGTGTCCATAGTGTCTGTACTATGAAGCGCTCCAAGAAAGATTCTAGAAAGGGCAGTCACAGACTGTGCTAGCATATGTTTAAGCTGTTTCCTATGCATTCAAAAGTATGGCTGGTGGCCAAAAACATGGATTTTAAAAATCATCCTAATAGACCACTAGGATTGGAAGGTTTAGGGAAATCTTTCTACTGGCTAGTTTTCTTATTGTATCAAACCAGGCGTTAGTTGCAGGAACCTGGATGCTGCTGCCCATCAGGGTGACTATAGGCTTTAAGGCCCGTGGCTCCACTACAGAGATGTTATAGGAATCCATGTTCTGTGATGCAGAGGTGGGAGTGTGATGGCAAGACTCAAGTTAGGAACAAGGAGGGAAATGTACAAAAAAGATATAAAGGGCAGCTGGGCTTAACATAGAGGTCCCACAAATAATGAAGCACCATTAATATTTCTCCTTCAAAAAGAATTCCTCTCCCCAGGCATGGAAATGAGGAAGAGAACAGGAAAACAAGAGAAAGACCAAGTCCAAACAAGGTCTGATGAGAAGAGTTTAATAGAGCAGACAGAGGTCTGATGCCCTCATCCCACTGTACCTCACCCTCCAAAAAATACTAAATTTCTCCACCCAAGATTAGATATATGAGAACAGGGGGATTTAAAGATTTTTGAAGCCCTCAGTACTTCTTCTGTTTACTCACAAAGGTTTCAGGAAATGGAAACAAGGGTTAAGAATAGACTTGGGGCCAAACTCCAGGCAATAGCATAATTCACAGAGAGAAGAAAGTGACAGAGACGACCCACCCAATAACTTTCCTAACATATGTAATAGTTAATTGTTTCTCATTGATAGTATTGATTATTTTAAAGGCACAGGAAAAAATAGATACTAATATTTTCCTAAACTTGTGCTGTGGTGGTCCCATCATCTGCCAGAGGCTCATGCAGGGATCTCAGTTTACGAAAAAAATATCCCTGTGTTTCCTTGAAGGCCTGGGATACATTAGGCATTAGTCAGGCATCCCTGAAAGTTCTACAGTCAGATCTCTACTGTCACACTGGACTTGAAAAGGATGAGGGCAGGTGACAGCGGCATACAAGAGTTCCGTAACAAACAACAAACAACAGAAAATATAGGGCTCAGCAGCTCATGTTAATAGTGGGACAGTCCTGAAGTATTAGCCAGAGGGACTGTCAACAATATAACAAGCTGCATGTTTCTCAAGTAGGAAATGAATGCCCTAGGTCTCTTAGGCCCCAAGATTTATAACTAACTATTCGGGGAGCTGAGCATATATTTCTAGCTTTGGATACCCAAGGAGGACCACTGGTTGTGCTGTATTTAAAAATAAAACAAGCTCCAGAAGACACTGAAACACATTTCTGTGACTGGCATCAGAGGAGTGACAAAAAGACTCCGAAGATGTGGCTTCCACATAGTGAAGGGATCTGCCATCACTATATGCATAAAGCATAGCACAGGGAAATAGTAGCCAGCAGCTACTGTACAGGTTAATATAATAATAATTGCTGGCCATCAAGTCACAACAGACTCATGGTGACCCCAGGCCCATAGGGTTTTTCAAGGCAAGGGATGAGCAGAGGTGGTTTTTGCCATTGCCTTTCTCTGCATTAGCAACCCCAGTCATCCTTGGGTTCAGCACCTGTGGCTCAACATGTACACAATACACACCTGTGTATGACTAGAAAACAGCCACAATATCTTTACCCACTAGGGGAACCAAGCCTTTTGCTGGCAAAAGGTGTTAGACATTAACCCAGTTGTGTTCAAGGAAGCACATTCAAACGTCACAATGCAATGGACAGAAACACCACATCCTCCTTCCTTCCAGCATACTGAAAGTAAAAATATTCCCTCTGTTTTCTCCCTTCTTTTGCTGCTAAGTCAAGTGCATAGTTTTTGCTTTTTTATTACAGCTGCCGAGTCAAAGGAGTGCTTGCTGTTGAAAGTACCCAGATGATCCAGGGTCTGAAGCACTAGTGTCTCAGCTCTCCCTATGCCCCTTACTCACCCAGCTTAGCTTAGCTAGTTTTCTTTAAACTGATAAAAAAACAGCTGTGAAGAAACAAATGCCACACAGCTTAGGACTTATGGCCAAAGTTACAATGTACAATAATGTACATTTATAAAAAAAAATTAAACACAGATGAAATAAACGTTTTGTTGCAACCATGTACAGTCTAGGACCACAAGAAGGCTTCTGGTTTGAGTGAGAGGAAGGCATCCCATAACAGTCACGGAGGGAGGCCTGCATGACCACTGGACAGCAGCAGAGATGGACACAGCAGGCACATTTCCTACACTGCTGTGAAAAGAGATGAACATGTATATAAGAAAAGGCACTGTCTGTTCTTCGTGGGTAAGAGGAGGGCTCAGGAGCAAGGGGTGTAGGTTCCTTATTGCTTATCAACCGCTCCTTGTTCAGCAGAGCTTTCCTTGTTGGTGGTCTGTGCATGCCAAGGTGTCTCTTTAAAGACAAACCAGCAGTTTCCAGCCCACAGTATAAAGTTGACAAAACCAAACAGCTGAAAAAGAAAGAGAAAAGTGCACTGTTAATGGTAAAGCTACTTGTAGCCAATCTCACAGAATGTATTTGTACTCAAAGCCTACACCAGGTCAACGAATGACCTTTTACTATACTATTGTTCAAGCTAAAAAAAGAAGGAGTCCCAAATACCCCCTGGATTTCAATGCATATATCTGCACTAATCCATATTTGTGATTGTGAGGACTAAATCAAATGTTGGAGTCAATTAATCCATAATAAAAGAATATGACCTTGAACATCTGTCCCATGTGATTGTCTGCTCTCCAACAGCTGAAGTCTGTGGTGAGATCACCACTGACAGGTGACATTATAGATATTATACAATCTTTTACACATGCAGTTTAAACCAACAACTGCTATGATGGTGGTGCATAAGCAGTTATAGATTTACTTTGTTTTCTGGTGACTACCTAGAAAATGCCCATCATGAAAAGGGCACTCAGCACAAGTGGCCAAAGTATTCTTTGCTGGTGAACAAGAAGGTAAAGGAGCAGTCTATCTAGAAGTGCACTTAGCACCACATTGCTTGTCTGTGCGTTATGTTTTTTAAAAGGATAAGATTCAGTTAGCGTTCTATTGTTAGCAGTGGTTTGCTGTGGCAAACATATGTTGTGGATGCTGCTTACTTGACCAGACTTGAGTGTCTGACTCACTATCGTTATACTTCTGAAATTAAATTAGACCTTTTTACTCTGCCCAAAGATCCCTGTAAAGCACAAAAAAAATCACACATCTCCAGTATCATGCTGGCTAAGCTCTACTAAATTGATGGAGCTCCACCAGTTCGGTATCTGGTCCAATGCAGCTGATGCCTCTATGTTTTCCTCCCCAAGTTACACAACCTCATTCTACAGACAACTCTTACCACAGAGATGTTGGCTAGTCCCATGGAGGGTGTAGCCCCTGCATTGCATACAGCAGTTTTGAGCTGGCACACGGACATAGCAGCAATGAGGCTGGAGGGCCGAGTGGCCCCTTTTACATCTGACAGGCCCTTGCCCCAAGCTGAAAATGCCACAAGCCAGAAAAAAGTAAATGAGACGGTGATACAGAAGTCCTGGAGAGGAAAAAAAAGAGATGAGTTTCTGTCAATAGAACGGCTCTTGCTATTGGTCCAAAATAATGGACATTAAGGTTTTTGGACACTGGCCTATCCTCTGCCATAGGCCAAACTGTCATGACATTCCAACCACATCTCTGGAATGATTCACAAGTGATATGAGGGCATCAAAATTCAAATGACTACAGAGATTGATAAACAGAAAAGGGTTTAATGTCACAGTCTAGAGACTTTACCAGACAAGGAATAGCTAAACCTCGGCTTCTGGGTTTTTAAAATAGTTGCGTAGAAGCAGGATTTTCAGTACACATAGTTTGTCATGTCACAGTACTCGGACCCTGTTTACATAAGTAGCAAATGGAGGTTGTAGAGGAGATTGTACAAATTCACACTATGGATGGGGAATTCCATTTCTGAATACTCAGTCATGCAAATACTTTTCAAGTACTGTTTTTTCCCCTACAAGAGGAAGAAACATTCATAACACTGGCGACAATATCGAGTCCTGCAGAACTCCACAGGAGCTCTCATGCTGCAGAAGTTACATCATCAATAACCACTTTTTGCATACAGTCAGATTTGGAGGGGGGGAAGACCAAACCCTTTTAGTGCAAAACCTCTAATACCACCTCCATATTTATTTATTTGATTGATTGATTAGACTTTTATACTGCCCTCCCCATAAGTGGGCTCAGAGTGGTTAACAACACAATTATAAAAATATAAATCAAAATAAATTGTCTAAAATACAGATCTAGTTAAACTTAACCCCAACCCTGACATGGTGCCATAATACAGTTTTAGCCCCTCAATTTGTAATTAAAAATTAACAGTTAACAATGAAGGGAGGGGAGTGGTAGCAGTTTGCAAGGCAGAAAGTTGTTAATACTAGCCACTGAAACCATTAAAAACTTTTGCTGTTTTCAACTGTATGCTTGGTGGAACATCTCTGCCTTGCAGGCCCTGCAGAATTGTAATAGATCCCGCAGGGCCCTGATGTTAGTTGGCAGAGAGTTCCACCAAGTTGAAGCCAGGGCCAAAAAGGCCCTGACTTTGGATGAGGACAGCCAGATGCTCTTTGGGCCAGGGACTTCCAGTAGATGTTGTTCACTTGAGCGTAATACTCTCTGAGGGACAGACCAAGAGAGGCAGTCCTACAGGTACGTTGATCCCTGACCGTTTAGGGCTTTAAAGGTCAAGACCAAAACCTTTAACCTGACCCAGTACTCGACTTTGAGCCAGTGCAGCTGCCAGAGCACAGGTTCTATGTGTGCAGTTATCGGTGTCTCTGTGAGGACCCATGCCTCTGCATTCTGGACAAGCTATATTTTCCAGGGTAGCCCAGTGTACAGTGAGTTGCAATAATGAAGCCTAGAGGTGACCGCTGCATTGATTACTGTGGCTAGGTAAGGGTAAAACAGGTATAGGGTCAGCTGCCTGGCTTGGTGTAGTTGGAAGAACGCCAGCCTGGCCACATTTGTGACCTGAGCCTCCTTTGTCAGGGAAGCATCCAGAACCACACCCAAGCTCTTGACCTCCTGTGCTGGTGTTAAGGGCACATGATAAGGGTAATCTGGAGGTTGAGCACTTGAATGAGATTTCAAGAGATAGCCATCTTGGTTTTTATGCGAGGAGTACTGAATATATTTTTCTATGATTATAACTGGTTTTAAAAATTTTAATGTATGTATTGTTTTATGTTATGTTATGATTTGGTAATATGACTTGTAAGCCGCCCTGAGCCTACGGGGAGGGTGGGATAGAAATACAAATAATAAATAAATAAATAAATAATCAATCAAGGGCTGGGAGCTGGCACCCCACATCCATGTCTCCCCGACCCGGCCAGGGAACCTCCGTCTTTGATGGATTCCATCTCAACTGGCTCTGCTTCAGCCACCCCACCATGGCCTCTGAACCCTCGGCCAAATTTCTTGGGACAGCGTCCAGCTGGCCATCCATCAGCAGATATCGCTAGGTGTCATCAATGTACTGATGGCAGCCCAGCCCAAACCTCTGCACCAGCTGGGCAAGGGGCGCCATGTAGATGTTAAACAACATCAGGGAGAGGATAGCCCCCTGAGGGACCCCACGTGTCATGGGGTATCAAGAAGACACCCTCTCACCCAGCACCACCCTCTGTCCCCAACTATGGAGGAACGAGGCAACCCACTTCAGGGCTGTCCTGCATACTCCACTGTTGGCGAGGTGGTGGACCAGCAGATCATGATCTACTGAATTGAATGCAGCTGTCAGGTTGAGCAGTAAGAGCAGCACCGACCTGCCTCGATTCAACAGCCTACGGAGGTCATCCTTGAGGGTGACCAGCACAGTCTCCATCCCGTGGCCAGGGCAGAAGCCAGACTGGAAGAGGTCTAGTGCCGAAGAGGTCAGGCATCTTCAAAGAATGGCATGGTAAAGCAGCTCATTAATCTAGCAATACTAACAAATCAGCATTGCCAGTCTACTTGAAGACACGAAGCTCCACCACAGCAGCCAAGGCCGGAACAAGACCCAGAACATTCCCCAGTGCCTAATAAATCAAAGTCCCTCCTCCCAGCACCACTTTCTCATCCACGCATTGAGACCCCTAATGTGTGCCTGTCTAGCTGGCCCTTTGCGTGGAACTGGCAGCACTTCTGAGAATGCTACCTTTGAGGTCCTGGCCTTTAACTTTCTGCCTTGTCACTGAAATTGTTCCTGCAAGACCACACGACTACATTTCCCAGTGTCATTGGTGCCAAGGTGCACCATGACTGCTGACTCCTCCCCAGCACTATCAACCTATCTAGACAGTGTGTGATGTCCGCAACCTTTGCACCAGGCAGACAAATCAGTGTGCAGTTAAAATGCCTGTCACAAACCCCACTCTTTATATTCCTAATAATCAAATCACCCACTACCAACAGCCCACCTTCCCCCCAACTCCAGGGGGGTATCCTCAGTATGAGAGGCTATTGGCCCATCACCAAAGAGTGGGGTCACTTCTAAGGGATCACATCCCTCCTCCTCAAACACCCTCTAACCTTGAGACTCTCACTCTGCACAACAGCAGAAGAGGTGTTTTTGCCCATAGTCATAGGTGCTTCAGAATTAAAGTCTTGCATAATAAAGTTGATAACCAAACAATATATTGTGTGCCAAGTTGAGGTCTTACCGCAAAAGGAAGTCTCTTGTCCTCTTTGTAGAGGGAGTGAAATCGCAGATAGACAGCAAGGGCTGCCATGGTATACAGGAAAGAGAAGACACCCAAGGTCACAAAGAACTCAGCAGGTGCTGAAAAGTCTCCCATGAGATGCAGCGTCCTTTTATCAGTAGAATCCGGATCACAGACTGGCATGTCAAATGGAACTTTGTACAACCTGGTCAAGATGAAATGGAGAAGGAAGAAAAGAACATATTTGGTATAGGCTAAGTGCCTGGTACAGAAGTGCCCAGTCACAAGGACCTCTTGCAAACAGGAAGGCAGCTTGGGCCGAACAGCTTTTGCAGGATTCTGAAACCATACAAAAACCTGCAGAAACTGTTTTCCAGAAATGGAAGTGTCTTCTCAAACCACCTCTCAGAAAAAAACCTATAGTCTGTCTTTAGCCATTATGAGATGAAGCCCTGTCACTGAAAAGAACACATCCAGGTCTGTTTGTCCTCAGGAATACACCGCTTTCAAAAGCTGGTGACAGGAAGAGCTTTCCTGATTCAGGCTGCCATGATAGCACATCTTACCAAGAAGGAGCAACCCCTCTTGGGTGGCTCAGCTATGTTTCAAATGATGTTTGCATGAATGTGACATCTGCACTGTCCACGAGGCAGAGAAAAATGCATATCCTTTTTTGAAAGAGAGCGAGCTTCAGCTCTAGATCACAGGGAGGTTAGGTTTCTTTAATACTACCTAATGTGATGTTAGCTCCCTACCAAGATTGCCAAGGAGCTGCGGTGGCTCAAGTGGTTAAGACGCTGAACTGCAGGCTGTGGAAGGTCAGTAGTTCAGCAGTTCGAGACCCAGGTGCCGCATGACGGAGTGAACTCCCATCTCTAGTTCCAGCTCCTGCCAACCTGGCAGTTCGAAAGCAAGAAATTGCAAGCAGATAAATAGGTACCACTTTGGTGGGAAGGTAACAGCGTTCCGTCCGCCTTGGTGTTTAGTCATGCCAGCCACATGACCACGGAAACGTCTTCGGACAGTGCTGGCTCTTCGGCTTTGAGACGGAGATGAGCACCGCAACCCTAGAGTCGGATTCGACTGGCTTTCAAGCAAGGGAACCTTTAATGTGATGTTAGCTCTCTACCAAGATTGCCATTAGGTGGAAGAGTCTGATAGACATCTCCTTCCTCAGTAACTTACTGACCTTAGTCAGGTAACCACCAGACGACAGGATCAGTTTTTCCAGCTCACACTGCCAGTTCCTCAAAACAATGTCACTGCTGTTGCACACAATTATAGCTTTCATAGTGTACAGAAAATGAGGTTGGCCAGGCTTGGGCTCTATACAGGTATAAAACAATGTGAAGTGACCTTCTGCTGAGACTACATCACAGTTGTAGGAACTTAACTTTTCGTCCCAGAGAGGAGCAATCGTAGCTTTCAACCTGACTTATAACAAGTTGTACACACCAGCAGTGCTGGGTATACCGACAGCTTTCAGCCACTTCCCACCTAGACCATTTGAACCAGGATGGTATTGCTGTTAGAAGCTCTGCAGCTTGAATCCCCAGCAACAGTTTCCATCTTAAAACTGTCTTAATGCAAATTGAACTAGTTTTTTCTCCTTTTGCATTTTTGAAATTTTCCAATTACACATGACCAATCTGATTGGTGAATTAGATTAAATTCTTTACAAGGTATGTGAAACTGTGACCGATTCCGCAAAAGCAGTTGTTTCGCCCTCGGTCTCCTGGTTTCCCATTGTACTGCTCAATTTTCCACTATTTGCTGTGCGGCTGCATTTTGACCCATATCTCCCCCCAATTTCCCCCAAGTCTTCTTGATCCTAAAAAATAAGGCTAGAGAAGATGTGGGGGAAGTCGGGGAAGATTTGGGTCAAAATGCAGCCGTGCAGCAAATAGTGGGAAATTGAGATGTACAACCGGGGGTAATGGGAGACCAAGGACAGAACAACTGCTTTTGCAGAATCAGGCTGTACTACTGATTCTAATCCAACTGGGTTCACTGAAACCAGCTCAGAATTCAGCCTGACATTTTCCGGCTACATTTCTATAGCAAAATGCAAAAATAAGTATGACTTTAAATGAATGACCAGATTTCATGAACTGTATGTTGCATATCTCCTGGAAGAACTATAAAGAAAGTATTCTTTAGGCTTGTATGTTAACAGTTTAAGACAGGAATCTAATAGCATGTGCAGCTACTAATTTAACCAACAATACCGGACTGCAATCTGAATATCAGGCTCCCTACAATTAAGATATACCCAATAAAAGATATATTTATATTCCCCACAACCAGAAGATTACAGGAGGCAGTTATTTGCCATAAGACATAACTATATATGCTCTTACATGATTTAGAAGTTAAGCAGCAAGATGGAGCTCAGATGACAGGAGCTAAGGCCTCTTCCATTTAAGCCACTTAGACAACAATTAATTATTTCAAGAAAATATTCACTAGATATTCTATTCTGTGCTGTCACCTCTGACACTACAACCACCCCTCACAATTTGTTCTACTTCTTGTCAAAGGCATTTCAATAGACTTCATAGACATGCCTCTATTTATAGCTATTAGACGTTGGCAGGGATGCAAAGATGCACTGTGATACAGCCATGTTCACGTCTTTCATACACAGAGCACAGGATCAATTTCAGTCTAACTTTGGTTCCTTTTCTTCTCAGCTAACAAGTCTTGTGAGGGATCTCTAACAGACAAGGCTTTTGCTGTTGTTGATTTCTTGCTGTATAATACAAGCAACCTTCTCCTGGTTTGGCATGCCAAAAAGACCCAAGAAAATTGCTCTTTTAGCAGTGCCAAGTGATGAAAGTGGCAAACGTTCATTTGCAGGACACCAATCTCTATAGCCTACCACAAACTAAGCTAGAACTTTAAGATATAATAATGATGGTTAAGTTGGGGGTTGGGGAAGAGAAAGAAGAGATACTAGCAAAAATGAACCTCTAACAACATATTTATAAGATTCACAACACTAGCACTGATCAGTACAGGGAAATATTTGATAGACTTTCTATACAGAGTTATCCTTTAAAGCTTTAGCCATATTAAATCTATTGTTTTCAACTTGTATTTTGGCCCAAAACCAAGCCCTCAAAATGGTTTGCATTTAAAATACATTTAGAATGTTCTTAAACAACAACAACAAAAACCTTGATAGAAAACATCACTAGGAAGCTAGTGTGTTAAAATTAGCAACATTCACCCATGAAGTTTTCTGTGGATCTCCTAAAACTGCACATCAACACACATGCTAATTTGTCTTGCAATGTGACAAAGATCTTGTCAACATGACTAAATAGACTTCATCAAGAATATAGGTCAAGAAAATGGAACATAATAGGGCATGCAGTAGCAACAGCCAATATATACAGTAGGCCAACTCTAAAGCCAACAGTATTCCCTTAATTGTGTAACTTTAGCCTACGAAGCTGACTTACTCATGTGAGCGCAAATGCTAGCTGCTCCTTTGTTCAATCATCCCAAATGGCTAATTTTAAAACACCTCTTCTTCAAACATGCAAGGAACTAATCAGATAGTGCATAGTGTAACTACCTACATTCTATGTCTATTTACCAAATTAGTGCTTTTTCACCCATCCATGATCCAATGGTAATTTTTTCTCTGCTGTGAATGATGGCTCAGCTGTAGGTCACCTTAAGTTGAACTGACTTTCCCATCAGTCAGCAACACTAAATTTATCTAGAAGAACATTGCTAAAACATGTTACAGAAAACATGTTACAGAAGCACAGTAGGAATCCAAAGAACTGCACACCCAAGAGGACTTCTGCTTGTTTGAAACCAAGGAGACTCTCAAAAGTAGTTTGTAATGTAGTACAGCAGGGGACAGAAAGTCTACTGTAGAAAGAAATGTCAAAACTCTTACTAGGCACACTCAGTTTCAGTTGCTGTAACCCAAGAATATGGTCAAGTTGCTTGGTGAAAGGCAGCCTATCATATTAGTGCTTTGCAACTGTCAACATCTAACCATACTGAGTTGTGCAGGTGGGTCCAGGGAGTACTGAATGCTTCTTTAAAACAAAGAGATTATGCCAGCTTCCTTGAAGGAGATGGTCATGAGACCCCTTCCTGAAGAAACCCTCCATGGTCTCAGATTATTTGATTAACTGGTAGTAAACAACTCCTTTTTGGGGGTAAGGTGCTTGGGCTAACAGCAGCCACTCATCTCCCCATTTTCTTGGATAAGACAGTTCACCTGAACCAATTTAAATGCAGCAAGTTTGGAATGGAAATTGCCTTGGTCATTCTGACAGATGACTTTCAAGAGAAGAGAGAGAAGGCAAGCCTGACCCTGTTGATCCTCTTCAACATTTTGGTAGTTTTGATAATATCAAAGTACCACAGCTGACTGAGACCACAGCTATCAGAAGCACCATGCTCTGTTGGCTTTTCAGTCTTGCTAACCTACACCAGAAGGTAATACTAGGGGACAGATGCTCTGTGTGATGGATTTGCACTATGGAGTCCCTCATCCCTTCCCCCATGCCATTTGACATTTACATGAAACCACTGGGAGAGGGCTGGGAGAGGGTATGGAATGAGGTATACTCAGTGCCACGATGACACTGAGCTGTAGTGTCCTTTCTGTAAGAGTTACATGAGAGAGTGGTTGTCCTGAATGAATGTTTTGAAGTGGTAATCAACCGCACAGAGCCGATAAATAATAGTCCAGAGAAAATAGATGTGCTATTGATCAACAGCTTAGCCAATAATAGACCAAGTTTAGTATGGATGGGGTTGTACTCCCTGGTGGATTATGTTTGCAGCTTGCATGGTGGTGCTGGTGGTATCAGATCCAAGTCTGCACACAGAGACCCAGATCTCATCAGCAACACTTTTGTTGAGCTTTAGCTGGTTCACCAGCTGTGGCTCTTGCTTAAGAAGCACAATCTGGCTACTCTTACCTAAGCTCTGATCATATTCAGGTGCTGTATGGAAACTTTGGTTGGTGCAAAAAGCAGCAGCAAGATTGCTGATCGACATAAACTATAAGGAACAGATCTTAATGGTTCTGAAAGAGCTACGCTGGGCTGTTGCTTGTGGGGAACAATTCAAAGAGCTAAGCATTACTTTTAAAGCTCTATAAAATCCGGAACTAGGATATTTAAAGGACTGCTACCTTTAATACAAGCATGCCCAGCAATTAAGACCTTCTACAGAGACTGTGTTCTCATTCCCTGTGATGGTACCCCAAGCTCTGGAATTCTCTCCTTGCAGCTGTTTGCTTGATACAGAGCTCATTTAGCTTTTGGGTGCAAGGAAAATACTTTTCCCCTAGGTTCTTGGTTGACTGTTCCCCTGCCTTGGCTGGAATGGTCCTAATCATGCTTTATTAGATATTATCAGTTTTTATGGGTTTTTAAAAGAAATTAGTTTATTGTTGACTTTTAAAGAAATGTTTGACGGTGTTCTGTTCTGTTTTATGTGACAGCTAGCTCATTATTGATGATTTAGTGTTTTTAGCAGCTGATATCATTTTGGTGGATTGTTCTTATACTGGAAGCTGCCTTGTGAATACTTAAAAGTAAATTTAAAAAATTATTTTTAAATCTTAGCCACTACAAAAAGGGTTCTAGCAGTCACTTCAACAACATCTGCAAGTCTTAGAAACTTCAAACCCAACCTATTTTGAGTCACTAGTTGAACTTTCAGGGTCGACCTTCAGAAAGATCACTGTAAGAAATTAAAGAAACTTTGCCAAACAGAGGCACAATAAAGGGTTAAAAACAAATTAGTAGTCATTTTCCCTACTAAATTAAGAAGAGTCAGACATTCTCCAGCTTCATATAGTATCATAGATCAGGGCCTTCATTTACCTGAAGGGATATCCAAACTGCACAGTGATGGCGGTCATCTCTTTAGGCTCTGCATTGCATTTCACAGTAGCCCCTGTTTCTGCACTGAAAGAACCACAGGCTCCAAAAGCAAAAATGGCAAACAGCTGGAGAAAAAAGCAAAGAAGGTTAGTATCAGACGTTGCTACCAGACAAACAACAGCACAGATGCTCCATGCACAACAACACATCTGGGCAAACCATTCACTGTGAACTGATCAAGACCACCTTAGAAACCACAGACAACAATCCATATAAACTCAAGTTTAGCCTGGGAATCATAACAACTCAGAACAGTAACCATGAAATCAGATCACGTGCAGCCCATAATACCAACAATGGCAAGTTATCTGGCAGACTAATGTGTGTCAAAGAAAGCTGCAAATGACAAGTGCCTTTTTTCTTTGAGCCACTTTTTGCAAACAAAATACCCACAAGAGAATGAAAAATGGCAAAAAGGAAAACCTCAGTACCTAGATGTTTCACAGAGATACCCTCCAAAGCATTGGCCAACTTGCCACTACTATGACAGAAAATTCAATGGATGAAAAAGTTAGAACTAGTTCGTCTTTACAGAAAACAGTGCAGTTTATTTATTTATTTATTTATTGGATTTGTATCCCGCCCTCCCCAGATGGGCTCAGAGCGGCTTCCAACAGTGGCAAATGCCATAACAAACAGTTAAAACAGTATAAAACAATCAATAAATAAAGTGCGGTGCTCTAGATATTAACTTATCTCTCCAAGATGGGATCCTTTTATCAACCTAGCCTGACAACATAAGTTCTTGGTCACCTAGGCGTCTGCCCAGGGCCGGTTCACTTATAGGTCTAATCCACCATCATAGATGGCAACTCGGTGGTGGCACAATGGCGGCGGCGGCTCCTATGCAAAGGACTGGCGGAGGAATCACTGTCCATTTAAATCAATTCAGCTAGTTTATGCTCTGACTAGACAAGCAGAAGGGTGCTTAGTACAAATGTAAAAAAAAATAGAAAGATTTGTCCTGCAACCATACAAACATGCATAACTATAAAAGAGTTATTCCACCTTATTAGTTTTTAAATCTCTGTGTCAGTAACATGGAGCTACCTACAGTCCAGCCACAAGTAAAGGCAATTTTGTGCTCAACAAATGCTTGAAACTGACAGCCTTCCTAAATTAGAGTTGTTCCAATTTAGTACATCATGCAGACTAAAAGCTATGCATGCACTTGAAATCAGAGAAGCCCAGCAAGTACTGCAGGGTCTCAAGAATGACAGGTACATACAAGCAGGTGGTAGTAGCATGGAACCAGTCTCAGACCTCAATCTACTCTAAACATGCTAAGTATTACTACTACATAAATTTTGCTTGGATTATCTGACTTTGCATAATAAGATAACAATACGACACAAATAAGATTCCAGTATCACAAAAAATTCCAGAAAGTTCATGGCAGATGAGAAAATGAGGCAAATGTGTTCTGCCATAAAGAATCTTCACTTCTTATTCAGAAAACACACCCTCAAAACAGGCATCATACACAAGAAAGGCATCAATCACCAAGAATCTCCTACAAGTCTCATTAAGAAGCTTTTCATAAATACCATGATGGGCCAGAAAAAATACAAGAACTTGTGGGCACTCAATGAAATTGCTGAGCAGTCGGGTTAGAACAGATAAAAGGAAGTACTTCTTCACCCAAAGAGTGATTAACACATGGAATTCATTGTCACAGGAGGTGGTGGCAGCTACAAGCCTGGACAGCTTCAAGAGGGAATTAGATAAACATATGGAGCAGAAGTCCATCAGAGGCCATTAGCCACAAGGTATAGATAGGAACTCTCAGGCTGGGGCAAGTGATGCTCTGTCTTCTTGGTGCTTGGGGGTGGGGCAACAGTGAGAGGGCTTCTAGTGTCCTGGCCCCACTGCTAGACCTCCTGATGGCACCATTTTGGCCACTGTGTGACAGAGTGTTGGACTAGATGGGCCATTGGCCTGATCCAACATTGGCTTCTCTTATGTTCTTATGTAAAATAACTAACAAAGGACTGGGGGGTGGGGGCAAGATCTGCGCCAAGCTAGAAGGGATCAATATTCTGTTTTTTCACAAGAAAAAAGTTCTTGCGCACCTATTTACACATGGGCTGATTTTATAAGCTGCTGCACTGATGTAACAACACTTAAGATGCAGGCTTAAGGACACTTTCCAGGGAGCAAGCCCCATTACATAAGATGGGACTTATTGCTGAGTAGATTTGCTTAGGACTGCTCCTTTAAGGACTTGGAAAAGTCCTCTGAGCTATACCACTATATGTGGTACAATACAACAGACGAGCAACCCCAGATCATATGCCTGGCTTTTCAAGCTTTGTATGTCACTGATATACTAAAGTAACTTGGACTGCTTCCACGGAGATTATTCTCTGTGCAGCTCTAGTTGCTGCTGTGAGTGTAGAGGCATTTGTGATGGCAATGAAGCATCTACACAGAAGTTTGCCCTGTACCTTCCTTACCTCAGACCTCCTTGGCTGCCATAGGAGGGCTTTCTTCAGGCTTCAAAAAATCATAATAGCTCTATAGTGTTATAATGATCCACAAAAATAACATACTAGTTCCCAGCTTTCATCTGTTTTTAAAAAATAAGCCTCTCGCACTTCAAGAAAAATACAGTCAGTTCCTATCCCTATAACTCTGCAATGAAAAGGACTGGACACTTACTTTTTAAAAAGGAAATTCAGAAACAAGCACATTATTGCAACAGATCATTATAATACTATAGCAACTTAGTCATTACTGATTTTTGAAAGACCTCCAGTGTGTGAGTGTGGGGAGCAGAATGACAGCAGCAGGGTCTGAGGTAAAGAAAATGGTGATGATGCAGGCAAGACTGCAAAAATGCAGACCTTTCTCTTCACGTGGCAACTGAAGGAGCTTTTACTTTCCAAAAAATATCATACCAAACTGGGAGAAAACACAGACTGGTTCATCCAGATACACAAGCAAAAAAAGCAACATACTATATGAATCGCGTCTGCAAAAGAAGCATACTGCTAGTTACATTGTAGCATAACACCTGGGACAATGACAGACACAAGCACTAGAATTTGCAACAAGATGCTAATGTGCATGACTAGCGCACAAGACAGCAGATATTTTGCCAAATTAATACACGGTCCAGTTTCAAAGACTTAGGACTCTATAGAGGTCATTCACATTCCTCCTAACCCCTGACAAGCCAACAGCCTTGATGTAGCAAGCCTCGTCCAGAGACGTTTACAAGCAACCAGCTCATTGCCATCCTACACTGCTGGCAGAAATGGAACAGAGCATCATGCCAAAAACCTCTTCCTACTGTCTTTCTGTTAGTCCAACCCACGTGAGCTACATGATCCTGTCTACTCTCCATGAGGCATTCATTTAGTAGCTAATGATAGCACCACAGCTCCTATTGAAGCAGTTACTATTTGAAGGAGAGAGAAAAAAAGATTGAACTACAAGTGTCTGTTATTGAGCTTTCAGGAAAAAAAGAGGAGAAACAGTCTGAAGTGCCAGTTCTGTGTCGATACACATTAGAACTACACAAATTTAGGACCAAGTTTGCAGAAGTATTACATGGCAAGGGCACAGAAGAACATATGTTCCATTTCTAGCAGGAGTTCCTGGCACTGATCGTCTCAGCTTTCCAAATCCGTAAAATGCCAAGACAGCCAAGAAAAGGTATTTAAATATAGATAGGGAAGTGTTGTGTTAGAGCAAGATACCATCACTACACCAAATAACCTAGACAAGCCATGTGACATGACAAAAACTCCATGGTCATGAGAAAGAAGAAGAAGAAAAAGATGAGATTGGATTTCTACCCCGCCCTTCACTAACCAAAGGAGTCTCAGAGTGGCTTACAAACTCCTTTCCCTTCCCCTCCCCACAACAGACACCCTGTGAGGTAGGTGAGGCTGAGAGAACTCTGACAGAAACTGCTCTTTTTCAAGAACAGCTGTGCCAGACCTATGGCTTGCCCAAGGTCATCCAGCCAGGTGCAAGTGGGTTCTCCCAGATTAGAGTCCGCACACTTAACCACTACACCAAACTGGCTCTCGCATGCACAAAGAACAGATACAGCACAAAAGAATGGAAATGACTTATTTCTTTTGCCATGACTGAAACCGTTATTTTGACTGATAATCAAGTATTGTAATTGATTCTGCCAAAGCACTGCCTTGCATATTTCATTCAAAGAACTCAAAATATGCTAAGACCTAGAGGCTACGGGGCATCTTCCTGAAAAGATCCACCATTAAAGTCTCTGCTTAAGATGCCATATAAATTTTGGCCTGTTCTTCCAATGAAAACAACTATAACTGAGCCATGTAATTATTTTGTCACTGTAAGAATTCTAGGCTAAAATCTAAAGTAATCTGAATTTTCTCAGTAATCTTGAGGACTGTGCAGGTGGCAAATATAATGGAATGGAAATTTAAATAAATATAGTGGAAAATGAAAGAACCAAATGCCTAAAGGTGGAGGGAGAGAAGAAACAACTGTAAGATGATGTCATTATGTGAATTCATTATTTGCCTCTTATGCTAAATTTTGACCACTGTGTGTAGCCAGCCAATCCACCCAAAAGGTCTTCGAGACTTACTTGTGGGGGTCTTGATGCTTCTGTATGGAAACCATTGTCCTAAAATCATACATGGGCAGAGAGCTACCTAATAAATGAGATGTACACACCATGGGGGTGGGGGGGAAGTATTCGTGAATTTTCTTCATTGTGTAGAGGGTTGGACTAGATTACCCCGGAGATCCCTTCCAACTCTATGATTCTACAAAGTCTAAAACTGGCCAAGATTGCCACATAATTTTCTAGCCTCCATCCATCTCCTTTATCATGCCTTGCCCTCACCACTTTATGATCTTTTCAAAAAATTCAGGCAATATTGTCTCTATTTTGTGCTATTGCACAAATCACAGTCACCAGCCAGATGCCCCTTAAAAGACACTATCTACTTTTAGCAAAACTTCCCCCCTTTTACAGAGCTGTCACTTATGCACTAGGATTTATTTGTAAACTACCAGTGTAAACTACCAGTAGCACAGAGCCCCTGGGGTTTTTCTTCCTATAGCAGGGACATGGGCTTGCCCATTTTTTAAAATTATGGGGCACTTTGGGATCCAGTATGATTCATTTCTTCTTCTTCCGCTCACCTCTATGGCGGACAGAAACGGGGGAATTTTCAGTCACCATTTTTCCTACAGAAAGATTATCTTAAGTCTCTCCACACTTGGGCTCCAAGCTGTGGATCCAAGTAAATCTACCCACCCTTGGGAAGCCTGAGATCAGAGAGAGAATTCGTGAGCTCAGGGACAAGTTAAGGCGTGGTATGTGCAGGATCAGAGCTCCAGAAAGGTTAAACCAGCCTGAGTGAAATGTGAGCTGCTAACACCAGCTCCCATACATATCCCAGCCCATAAACCCAGAATCCTTGCTCATAGAAGGGCTGCCTGAGAGGCCATCCTGCCCAACTTACTCCTATACCCTGCCCTATTCCCATAGCCAGAAATCATACACCCCTCCGCCAATAATCCCATGCGTTCCTTTCCTTTCTGCAACCTCCCCTCTAGAGCCAGGGCACCACCAATGCATTGCTGGGCAGGAGCATCATCCCACCTCCCAACTGAAAGAGAACGAGCCAGAAAGTTGCAAGAGATGACAAAACTTACCCACTGCAGCACCTTAATGAATCCCAGGGGCTCCTCCAGGCGGCCCCAACGCAGCCCCAAAAGCAGCTGGGCCTGGCGAGGAAAGAAAAGGGGAGGGAGAAAGAAACAAGGGCCGGGAGTTCAGGTCAGCCAGGAGGGAAAGCAAAGGGGAGGGGGAAGGAGGAGGAGGAGGAACAGGAGAAGGGAGTCAGAAAAAGAGAGAGAACAATGCGGACCGGGCAGGGGGAGAGAGTGAAGGGGAGGCGGGGAGAGAACTAGAAAACCCAGTAAGGAAGGGGGCCCTACCGCCGGGCTTCGGGACTCCTTGTCCGCTGTCTGGGCGCTGGGCTCGGACATGCTCGGCGAGGGTCGGGTCCGTCTGTGCGCAGCCAGGCAGAGCGAGGCTTCCTTGCTCCTCCGAGGCTTGGGCGGAGGGCTTTCACAGGCGAGGGACGGCACGGCGGCGGGGCTGACGGCGGCCGGGACTGCAGCTCCCTCCTGAGAAGAGCTGCGAAAAAAAAAGCCCCGTCAAAACTCCTGTCAAACTCGCAAGGGAAAGTGAGAGCGTCACGTGGCGGCAAGCACGAGAGCGCGCGCACATGGACCTGGCCCGGACAGCTGCGGGCTGCGCCTCCTGGCCGCGTCCGGGCGGCAGCTCCACCCCCTCTAAGGGCGGGGCGGGCGCGGCACTGCACGGTCGCTTGCATGGCTCTTCGCGGCACACTTTCCCTGTAGCATCGCAATAGGAGACAGCGTGCCCCATCACTGACACGCACGGACGGTAGGTCACCCCAAACCCTGGGATCCTGTAGTCTGAGCCCATCTGGTTACAGTAAAACAAAGAAGGCAGAGAGGAAATGCATATTGCCGTTAAGATTGAAGGAAAATCTATTTTTGAACAAACATTTTCTCACTTTAGGTTGGATAAGCGCAATAAGCCATAAAGAGAAAGAGACAAATTACTGTATTTTAATCGGGTTTATTTCTATGTTTGCCATAGCTAAAGCTATGTTTGCCATAGCTAAAGCTCCCATTATATATCGATATAAGCCGAACGTTCAAAAAAAAAAAAAAAGCCCGC